GCAAAGCCTTTGGTTGCAAGGAAGTTAAACTGTGAAGCAGTTAGCCTTCAAAATAAATGTGATAAGTTGTTTAGAAGAAGTATATGGTATGATGCTTCCCAATCAGATAACAATATCATAAACCTGTGGTCTTACACAAATAGAAGAAGTAACATTATATTGTGGTATCTCATTTTCTTTCAAATATGCTGATTTCAACTTTCATTTGATATCTGATGTTTCTAAGTCAGCTAAAGACAATAACAATGACTAACTTTTTAACTGGATGTTTAACCATTGCACTACTTTACAATGGCAAAGAAGAATTTGTAATTCTTCATTGTTTCACAGAAACCTTAAGAAAAAACAAACTTTATCATAAATGAAGGAAAGATGGTCATTTTGGATGTTGATTCTTTGTTTACAAATGTAACAACTGACAAAATAATATACTTCCAAGAAAGAAAATTAACTGTGCTCAACATTGTTCTTCCTGTGGCTGTACATATTTTTATCTCTCTGGTGGAAGTTTGTGTTGAAGATTGTGTATTTGCATGCATGAGATAATATTAGAGACAAAATTATGGAATGGCTGTTGGCAGTTTTTTATCCCAAATTCTATGCAATATTTTTATGAAGTATTTGAAATTAACTTACTTCCTTTAGCAAACCTGAATACAGAGGAAATCCCATAGTTCTGTTATGTAGATGACATACTTTCTGTTTGACCAAACAATGGAAATAATTTCAAGCTTTTTTCTGGACGATTAACAAGCTTTACAGTACTATTAAAATTGGAGTGAAATGGAAAACCAATAATTTGCTCCCATTTTTGGACATTCTCATAACTAGAGCAGAAAAAAAGACTTGTTTCTTTTACCTATAGAAAACAAACAAACCCTTAACTTTCTCACTACGGGTTTGTTAAAATTGGCTGAGTAGTGTTCCCATATTGACCTTTATAATTTTAGGACTACAACTTCAAATATATTTTATGCATCTTCACAAAATTTTGCAAGCTTTCAGTAAACATTAAGTCTTTTGTAAACAAAAAAATCAAAATTTTTAATGAAGCATTTTCACAAAAAATTTCTCCATGAATATGTGGAGTCAAAGTGTTGACTGCTCTGAGTGCAAGTGATTTTCATGTTAAGATTAAAAATATTTATATTCATCTGAAAATTGTCAAATGTCATTTGTGCAAATGCCTTAAATGAACTTAAACTTTTTTTCAGTGAAACTATATTTTATCTGTTATTTTTCTCTAGCCTAAGTCTATATGAGGTTGATCAATTTGACCGACTTCATAACGAACATAAAAAAATATTAAATAAATCTAAATTACCTCTTTTTCCCTTCTAGAATGACTTCAAATTGTAACATGAAATCACATTTATCTTAAATAGCATAAATCTTGTACGAGTATATACATGTTTCTATCTAAATTTTATTGCCCTTTTGAATCATGTCTAACTAATAATCCCACCAAACAAGTTGTAAATCCCTTAGCAAAAATGTAGCTCACATTACCCTATCAAGTTATTGAAGGCATGGACTATTCGTGAAAATATTATTATTTTTCTTTATCTTACCTAATCTAATTTTATCTAATGTAACAAATTTCTAATTCTTAAATTTTAGTCACTTTTATAATAATAAATAAAGAATACTCATGAAAAACAAGAAATATAATACTTATCTGGATCTTCTTTTTTTGCTGTCAACTGTCAATGAAACTTAACCCTACTAACAGTACTACTATACTAAATATTTTTTTTATTTAATTAAATAATGCACATAAGAACACAGAATAATAACATGTAAAAAACAGACAATATACGATAATTATCATAAATTTTCTGGCAATAACTTATCTAAGCTTGTTGATGCATTTCCCATGGGAATAATGTTTGAAATGGAAGCAAAGTAGACAATTCTCTCTAACATAACACATTATTTGATAGATTAAAACTTTGACTTTCTATTGGTTATAAATATTATAATATTAAATGTCAGAGAGAACTACTGGCAATTTTGAAAGATATTATGTGACAGGAGAGGTATGTGATTTTCTATTTTATGATTGAAGGCTATAAAAATTATGCTTTGCCTAAGTAATAACAATACTATAATAAGTAATTTATGTTAAATTCCATACTTCTGAGAGGAGTGTTAAATAAATTAAAGAAGAGGGGATACCTAGAGAGCAAATGTCACAATTCTCACACTATGGTGAGATTAAGAATTTTTAAAATATTTCCTTATAAAATCAAGAACTTAAAACTTATACAATTTTAAAATTTGATTTATTAACTATGTTTTTATGTCAAGTTTATTTGTATACCATGATGATAAAGTATTTTATTGAATTTTGAATGAAACTAAAAAGTCATGACATGCGTACTTTGTCCTGCTTGTAGCATGAGGATTATGTTTACTTTTTTCACACCATCAGAAAATGATTAAAACATCAATTATAACTTCATTGTTTTTAAGAGTTTATATAATATGTCATCACATGACCCTTCAAAAATACTTATGCAATTTTCATGTGGTCACAGTATCCTACAGATTTATCAAAATGTAATGAATAAATTTTTTGGAATAATAACCAGTAACACCAGCAATTAAAAATAATATACTTACTATCAATAACAATTATAGTATTGTGGCTTTAGAGAAATATCTGAAAATCAACAATTATAATGCTCTTTATAAATATCTGAAAACTGTTAATTTCTTACCTTCAAACAAGTTCACATCTCTAGGTAAAGAGCAGGGTGTCTATAGTACAATGTTAATAATGCAAAAATGTTTATGTTGATAAAACAGAAAAAAAATTATGATTCAAGAATTATAGAAAAGAAACAAATGGACAAACAAATAAAGCTGTTTTTCTACATATGAGTGATCTTAATCATCAAGTCAATTGAAAATCACCAAAAATAATACATAAAACAAGAAATTACATCAAAAGAAGAAATGTGGAAAATGCACTAATCCAAAGATTGTCCAACTTTAACACCTACAAAAGTTGCTTCAAGGTGAAACCCTTTATGATGTCTAATGCTATGAAGCTACTTGGAACTTCCTTTATAAAATAAACTGTGTATGTATTTCTTTCATAAGCAAAAGTTGGACTGAAAAGATTCATGAAAAAGTCAAAACTTGTTTCTCTATAAATTTCTGCTCTATAATTGAGGATCTTAACTTCATTTTAGATTACATGGTATTGTGTACATTAACCTACTATTAGAGTGAAACAAATAACTTTAACGCTTTCACTGTAGCTGGGACATATATTTCCCAGTGCTCTCACCCACTCACACTTTAACTGGGACAAATATTTCCTATAGTCATTCAAAATTGCTGCACGTGATGTGTGGGAGTAAAATCAGTTAGAGAGTATTAGATCGTCAAGAAATTAATGTCGCGTTTTGGAACACTTTTATTAACCCCCCCCCCAAAACACGTACATTACGTATAATAGTTAAACGAACTGCCTAAACGTCATGTTAGTGTAGCCTATATAATGTGTAATGTTTAGTAACTCTAATTCCTTATAGTGAGGGCACACGATGAGACACACATTCGACATGTAATGCTGTTTCAATACAAGAAAGGAAACAACTCTTCAGCAGCCACAAAGAATATCAAAGAAGTTTATGGAAATGTTTTGAACGTTCATAAGAGTAAACGATGGTTCAGCAAATTTCGTTCAGGTGACTTTAGCTTCAAAAACTGTGATGGCAGGGGCCAACATGTTGGAATTGATATTGATGCTCTGAAGATGCTTGTTGAGTCTAACCCAAGGCAACACGCTTGTAAAAAAGCCCTGAAATTGCATGTCTCTCATGAAACAATATGTAAGCATCTACAGAATATGTGAAAACTCCATAAAGAAGGTGTTTGGGTGCCTCACAAATTCTCCAATGATTATCGCTTGCAATAAGTGAACATTGTTTCGTCTCTTCTGGTGCGTAATGTGCATGAACCATTTTTGGACAGAATTGTTACTAGTGTTGAAAAATGGATTCTCTATGCAAAAATTAGATGCCAAAAACAATGGCTCAATCCTAGACAGAAACCACTTCTGGCTCAAAAACCTGGACTCCATCCACAGAAAGAGATGCTTTGCATTTGGTGGGACATCAAAGGAGTAATTAATTTTGAACTCCTCCACAGTGAACTGTCAATGCAGAGATCTATAGTCAGCAACTGGAATGTTTAAATCAAGCCTTTCATCAGAAACGCCCTTCACTCGTCAATCGGAAAGGTGTTCTTCTTCTCCACGACAATGCACGTCCATGTGGCACATTTGACGTAACACAAATTTGTGGAGTTGGGTTGGGAAGTTCTCCCCCACCCACCATATTCTCGAGATATGGCACCATCAGATTACCATCTCTTTTGTTTGCTGCAACACCATCTTAATGGGAAAACGTATGCAAATGTGGAAGGTGTTAAAGAGGACATCGACATAGTTTTTGCTTCAAAGCCAAATGATTTCATTAATCAGGGCATTAACAATCTGACTGTAAAATGGAAAAGCATCATCAATAAAAATGGAGACTATTTCATTTAATAAATGTTTTGATATATAAGTTGTTCAGGTTTTTTCATCTAAAACAAAAGCAACATTAATCTCTTGACGACCTAATATTTACTGGCATCCCACCTAATATTAATATATGGTTTTCCTCAATGTTTTCCACTAACCAACAAGATGACCAAGCAGAATGTACAACAGCTGTGTGCAGACCATGCCCACATCGCTAGAGCGGCAAGTAATAACCCTAATTAATATGTAAATATGCTTCATGTGCTTGACTCAGATAACTTAGAAGTGAAAGTGAATCAAGTGGTGTTCAAATACGTGATGATAAAGAGACAAGAGGATGCTAGCTTGCCATCTAGTGATGACAGTTAAGATGATGAACCTGGATCAGCAAAGGAAGGCATAAACAGTAACTACAAGGAAACATTTGTCCCAGCTGCAGTGAATGGGTTAAAAGATTTACCTTGCAAGCAACATCACTCCTGTGGTTTCTTTGTCTAGTCTGTGGACCATATACAGTTTTGAATGAGAAGAGGATTTATCCAAAAGGAAAGCTAGCTCAGAAAGGTAGGATGACAATACTGGAACATCTTCTTTACCTTTGAATATATATATATATCATACTTTGAAGATGAGGTAGCCTGGATCAAAGAAATAAACAAAATCCACTACACCGTGTTTAACGTATTAACTCTGCATTCTCATATTGTTTTTTTATAGTCACTAACTGATATGTAGTACAATACTGCTTTTAATATTCTAAAATTTAAACACAGTATTATACTTTTTAATCCTCACTCCATACACATAATTCTTACAATTATTTAAATATACACACATAAAAATATTCTTTAGAGAAAAAACATATATGAAATAACAATCTTTACTACTTCTGGTGTTGAAATGTAAAAAGAATACGAAACTATTCTCCATGGCCTAAACAATATGAACTATATTATATTTCTTTATGACAACCCTTTGTAACTAGTATGAGGTAGCAGTTTTCTTGATACAATATTATTTCAATTAGGAACTATAAATAATTGACTTGTTACTAATGTAGCACTAATCTGTAAATGGGTCCTTTATTATTTGTTCAAACCTGAATTTTACATCATTAACTATTGATACCGTGAATATTACCTGTACATATTTTGAATTTTAAAACTGTTAATATTGATCAGTACCTGTTTGACTTAATGTACTATATAACTGAGCTAGTATAACTTATCATAAACGAAAAAATAAACTTTATATGTTTAATAAGTCATATTTACCTACACATTTTACAAGTTGTTACTGTAATGCTTATCTCTATGTGCTTGAACTACTATGATTGCAATAATGACTTGAATATGTTCTATCTATTATTATTGTTATCATAATACTACTCTGTGTCACAATGATATATATATATATATATATATATACAGAAACCCTGATATTTAAATTCTGATAAGTTATCCCATAAGGTTTTCATTAGTGGCCCAACTTAGCCTACATATCAACAAATTTGTAAAATTTACCAAGACATACAATACATGTTAACGAATATATAAAGCTTACTACTGAATATATTCCCACAAGAACTTTTTAATAACCCAAACTTAACTCCTCCTACATATTAAAAAATAAATTCACAAAACATTTAATGGATAGAGTATAAAGCAATAAATTAACTCTTTCAACACAGGCTTGATCCCAAGGACTGACCACATAACCAATTTTACTTGTATATAGTTTTAATATTATAACTTTTAATACAGTATGTGTACTTTCACAAAATTTGGCAGACTTTTAGTAAACATTACATACCATTTGTACAAAAAAGCAGTTTTTTTTAACAAAGTATTTTTGCTAACAATTTGTCTGTGAATGAATCTAATATTTTTTTTTACTATTCCAAGAGCAAAGTGATTTTAATGTAAAGATTTAAAATATTTCTCATTGTCTCAAAAATCTCAACCTTCATTTTCATAATCGCTAAAACCTCCAAAGTAAATATGAAACTTTTTTTAAAAGTAAAACTTTATATTTCATCTGTTATTACTTCTACCCTAACAGTATATTATATTCTTCAGCCAGTAGACAAATCATCAAAGTATGATGAAAAGTTGTAAAATGAGAAATTAAATAAGCAACTTTGCCCTATTTTCTCGATTATTGTTCATAAGATTTTAAAGTATTTCTCTTCAGATTTTCAACTGCTAATCATTTCACATTTGTTTTCTATGTGTATTTTACAGTCTACGACTAAAGTGGAAATCTGCTGAAAATAAAGCAATAAATCGCTGCTTGTGTCAGTGGACTGTTTACATGACACCATAACATGATACCTTCAAAAGCAACAAAGCACGTGCGAAGGGACAGTTGACTTGACCCCTGCTCTGAGAACAGGACGTCTAATGTATCAGATTATATATCTTACAGTGTTTACAAGGAAATGTTGCTTTAGTAATCACACTGCACTTAAAATCTGTGAAAATGTTTATGCCGACAACAGGATGTGGAATTTATTGGCTTATGGTATGTATCCTAAAGCATTTTACAACAAGTATTCTCCAGAGCAATAAGACTGCACTTTGAAGCTATCAAAATGTTTATCATATGGTTTGGTGCCGATACAATAAACATTGCAATTCTTGGAATATTGGTAATCCTTCTGGAATGTTAGAAATTTAGCAATATATTGTATAGGTGTACAAAGATCTTATTGGTGAACATGATTGTGAAATCCTACTTCTCTTTCACGAAACTTACTCATCAACCAATAAACATTCAGGTTTCAAATCCAATTATCTGGCAAGCATTCAAATTCAGTCAAGCACTCTGACTTTGGCTATTTATCTACACTTTGTTAGAAGATGTAGATGAATTATTACCAAGCAAATACATTCTACTGAAGCATATTTCTTGCTACTGACATTTTACCTCAAAGTAAGTAATTATTATTTATAATACATCTGGAATCTATGTTCAATACATTGTAGCTGTTTCTGTATTTTAGCATAAAATGTACTGCTTCTGAAATCTTTGATACACACCACAGAATATATATGTATATATACATGTAAAGAACTAATATACGTTATATAATACATATAATAATGTTACATAACAGAGCACACATAATGCAAAATGTAATATATATGTAATGTTTTTTCTTCTAGAAATGGAAGCTAAAAGAGAACTTAAAGTTCCATAGATTGAGAAAGAATAAGATTCTCAATGAGAAGAGTATGCAGTTTTTACTACATGCATCTTTCTTGTCTGACGAAAGTGGCAGTCTGTCAAGGGAATCAACAGTTGAAGAAGCTGATGCTTCAATTGCTATGCCCCTGAAAGAATCAGTGTAGAAAACAAGTGGGCTTCAGACAGAACCAGCTCTTCTTGATTCTGTCTTATGGACAGAACAAGAAGTAGCTGGAAGGTCTTCACCACCCAGTCCAGGTACATCTAAACAAGCTCCCCCACCACATAAATGAGGCAGGGCTAGGAAGGGGTAGAGCTGCAGTGTGTACTATGACTACCCCTTCCCAGCAGAAGCCTCTCACCTGCAATGATACCTGGACCTGGGAGCAGATCACTGAGGAGGTGCATATAAACATACCTCCATTCAACAGAGGTGAACCTGTGTCCAGACAGGTCACCTCTTTGAATACGGTATAATTTTCCTATATTGAAAATTTATTTCCGATAGATACTAACCCCTCTCACACGATTAGGTATTCTCGTTCAGTGCTGCCCTCTATATGAAAACTTTTTCTTTATGCATGCAATAAGCCTTCTGCTCCCCCATGTTGGAATTACTATATTCCAACATATCTCTCATGTAAATCATCATGTATCATCTCTTAACCAAAGTGGCATGATATGCTCACATGACTACCTTTACTGAACCTTCACTTTGAAGTTTGGCAGAAGGTGTGAGCACCAGAAAAGTGGGGATGAAGGGTAAGAAGTGGGAGGGGAGGTAAGTACCTATTAGAAATACATTTTTAGTATGGGAAAATTATAACTTCCAATACGGTACTTACCTCCTCTCACAAGATTAGCTAGTATCCCACATTGAGAAGGAGGAGGGATCGGTGTGAGGGAACAAAAGAAGTACCCCCAAAAATATTTGAAGAATACCCCTTACAATGATAGATATAGATCTGAAGAGGGGAACCACACCACTTCTGAGTCAAGTATACTCTTTGCCCATGTGTGGAATGTGAAAGACATAAGGGCTGAAATTGAGAGGTGTAAAGTGGCTAGGGAATGGCAGACCATACTCGACAAGGGTAGGATGAGGTCTCCCAATCAAAGGGGTGAGCTGCAATTTCGATGGCTCAACTCCCGTGGTTGTGTAAATGATATCAGTAGTCCACATCAACCAGTAAGGTGACAGCTCCCTACTGCTTTACCCATGCAGTCCATGGGCGGTACAGCCCGGGAAGGGCATGTTCCTGAAGTAAAATATTGAGAGGTGAGTCACCATCAAGCAATCTTGTGGAACACCCCATCTTGACAGTGAGCATGCTAAGCCATGGAAAATAAAGTGCAAGTCAACATGACTTTATAGTGCAGATTTAGATTTAAAGAATACCTGGTCAGGCAACATTCACAAAAAAAAATAAAAAAATAACAAACTTATCAGTTAAAGTCACACCAAAGTCTGGAGAATGGCCACAGGTGGTAGACGAAACCCAGACAAAGAGGAAAGTGTGACATAATGAAGATAGTGGGAGATGAACATGCTGGGAGTGGTCCACATGCCATACTCCATCGAACGACAAAGACAAGTAGCAAGGGAAAAAGTGAGATGTTGTATCTGATGGAAGGAAACCTGGAACAAGGTATAGGTGAAGTAGGCCAAATGAACCAAAAGGCAGACACAATTAGTAAGGATAGAAGGTGAAAGATCACAAAGGGAGGAGGATTGCCAGGGGATAAAAAGTCAGTTGCACCTACCCCAAAAAGTAGCAGTATGTGCCACATAACAACAAAGGACCCTGACCAGACACAGAAGCCATCTGTATCTGGTCAAGGGTAAAGATGGGATATAGAAGGAAGGGAAATAGGAGAAAAGGATGAACAACCCTCCCAAGCTGCCGAGGTCTTAGAAAGATAAAAGGAATGTAAAATGTCAATCGCAAACAAATTCGACCATTGATGTCCCCAGGCTAAGAGAAGAAGGAAATATGTTTTAAGAGATAGATGAAACAAGGAACATGAGAAAGTTATTCAAACAGAAATATAGAAAGAGCATGGAGAACCACATTAAAGTTCCAATCTGGAAGGGCAGGATGCCTGAGCATAGTAAGTACAGAGGAAATGAAAACCCTATGGCATTGTTAAGATATTTGTGTGACCAATCCTGGCTGAAGGCATCAATTAACAAAGCCTGTGAATGTGGTACAGGTGACCAAAAAAGGGGCAACTTCGTACTGAGATCCATGGCAAAGGTATCCAAGTGAGGAGAACCCAACCAATGGCAAAGAACCCTGAAAACGAGTGGATCTAATGCCCACTCCATTTGACATATTTGGTCGGAGCATGAAAGATGATCCATGACTAAATTCAAAGAACCCAGTGCATGATATGCAATAAAACA